GTAATGTCTCATATCTAGATTGTTAGTAGCTTAAGGTTATGTCATATTTTATCATATAAATTTGTTGACACGTGAATGAAATATTAATGCCTTTGATTTTTTCTTTGTGACCTTCCCTATAAAAAGTTTCCAGCTTTCTCCTTTCCATTGAACTGTACCCTCATTCAAAACTTACCCATGTAATATTCTTTTCTTCCATGATTTATGGTATTATTTAATAGTCACACTAATTGATCAGTTACTTGTAAAATTTTAAGTCCTTTGTGTTCTTATAACCTATGTAATGATTTATATAATAAGATAATCTGGATATTTCTTTTTCCTAGCAAAAGACTAAATTTAATGGCTTTCAATTTAAAAATTTGATATCATTTATATCAAACACTAGAAATGCCATAGTGTAATAAAAACATCACTGAAAGTTTCTTCCTGAGGGGGGATCACTTCTCTCATTTAGAGATTTTTTTCACAGCAGATGAGTTTCTATAACATCCTTAAATATGTAGACTTGAACGTAGTACAAACACAACTCTCTAGATCATTTGAACACAAAATTTTCACACAATTACTCTTGTTATTATGCCACATGTGGTGGGAATTGGAGTAAGCTTCTTCAGTTATTTCTGTCCAGATTAATTATGTAAGAGTATACTGATCAGACTGAGTACTGGGATAGAAACTCAGTTCTGCTGCTAGTAGTATAAACTTACATAATTTAAACAACCTCAACAATAAAATGGGAACTTTAGTGGTTAAGATAAACCTCCGCAATTTACTAACTGTGTCCATGTGCCTTTGGGCATGTTACTTTCTGCAACTCAGTCTCCTCATCTGTTAAATGGGGAAAATAACTCGTGCCTCATATAGTATATGAAAATATAATGTGTATAAAGCACACATTAGAGAATCTGGCATATAGCAAGCATTCACTCAACAGTGGCTGCTCTTCTGAGAAGCCAACCTGAACAGATGAGGTTGTTTTGGAAGGTCTCTAACTTTCCAAAAGTCTTTCCAAAAGAAGGTCTCAATCAAGAATCCATGATTCCACCATCCATGACATGAAGGTCAAAAAAAGAGATAAGATCATCGAAATGAATATGATGTTGAAGATTTATTAAATTCATAGTATTTTTTCTTATTTAATTATTTTATGTGTAAAGCCCAGTTTAATTCATATAGCTCTTTATAAGAGATCATATAGGTTTAGAAGAAATGACAAGAGTATCATATTATGAATTTAGAAATTATCCATTTCAATCTACATATTAACAAATAAGTTATTCTAAACGTATTCTTAGAAGTTACGTATGTTTCACTGGCAAAACTGAGTCCGTGTTTTTCTGGTTCAAAGGCCACTGCTAGAGAAACAGAAATGTTAACTTATGTTATAAAAGCAGGATGTTGGCTACTGTCCAAAGCAGAAAAGAACTATTAACAAATTAATTACTTTAGATTTTCAAACTGTATGTCTAATATAAAGTACTATTTTAGCTTAAGCAAATACAGATTGAAATTTGTACTCCATTCCAAAGTGTGATTGAAGGAAATTTTTGGAAGCTATAGAGGTTTGAATAATTTTAGTTCACAGAAAAGTAGTGAGGACAGTGAAGAACAGTCCCTAGTGAAGAAGAAATAATCAAAATTAACTAAAGAAACATTAAGCAGGAAGCTAATTGGTTGACTTGACAACCAGTCCTCCTAACTGTAAAAATCATTTCAGCTTATTTGAATATACAAATATATCAAGCATTTCTTTTACAACTAGGTTGTTATTTAAAACCAAATATTGTACCAAGATGTTCCTTCTCCCATTTCTTCTGTTTCTTTGTTCCCTTTCTTCTTTTTTATAATCAGTTATTAGAAACAGCCAACCATACAGTTTGTGCTCAATAAATATTTATACAGAATTAATAAGTGAATGTTTAATAAATAATACAATAGTTTGACAAGTTTTATAATACCCAAACTATAGTAATATTTTTTCTACTGAAATTCTTTTTTCTTTTTAAATTTTAAGTTCAGGAGTACAAGTACAGGCTTGTTACCTAGATAAACTTGTGTCACAGGGATTTGTTGTACGGATTATTTCATACTGAGGTATTAAGCCTAGTACCCATTAGTTTACCAAGAAGAAATTTATTGTACATACAACACATCTTAAATAAAATGATAATGAGAATGAATGAAATCAGGATAAAAATGGCATGTATATTTTTAGAACATCTTCAGCAGACAATTGAAGTTTCTCTATTTTTCTGCAGTGGAACTTCCTTGTCTACTGTCTTAAACTTCTTTGTCTTACCTACCTGAAACTAAGGAAACTGAGTTACTAGTACCCTTTACAAATTTCTTGTGATTTTAAAGAGAGGCTGGCACATTTCCTTTCCAGGGAATATTTTACGTTATTGACAATAAATCAGTCAGACTTTTTTTCTTTAAACAAAAGAGAAAAATAACATGGAGAAGGGAACTAGAACCTGTAGATTTTAAGATCCGCAGTAATAACTGGAATAGACAGAACAACCTGAAGAGAAAGGTGTGTAACGTTTTTCTATTTAATGTGACTTTGCTTCTATAATGTGATCCTACCCTGGTGCCCTGGTGGATATATTGGTTAAATTTAAATGTATGGACAACTCAAGTTTTTTTTTTTTTTTTTCCCTACTGTTTGAACTTTTAATTTTATAAATGCATAATTTCTTCTATAATAAAGAAACAAGATCTTATTTTTCAATGCAGCAACCAATTTAGCATCTAGACTATGTGTTTTTCATATTATATTAATTTCCATAGTGGTCACATAAACTAGGAAAAAACATTGCATGTTTCTAGGTAACTTATCTTTATTCTACTTCATGCACATCCAGTAATGGAATGCCAAAGGTGTCCCAGCAGTTAACATCAAGCATAGTTTGAACAGTTAGCCCTGACTAAGGGAAGTAGGCATAGATCTTGTAGTTAGCCTCAAATAAATCTCAAATAAAGACAAATAAGCATTTTAAATAATGGCTTAAAATTTATTTTCAGACAGGCCTATGATTGTATTAAATCACAGTTCTCAGGACTAAAATACACCATGTACTTAAAATTATTTTTTAGTAATATTGGGCTTTCAATCTTGTTTCAGAGCCTAGAGGCAACATATTTTTAGATTAAGAAAGACAACTGCATCAGTGTTTGAAGTATAAACACCATACAGCCTATCTTCTGTGATAAAGGAAACAATATGTAACTAATCTATCCCTTTTTCATATTAATCTGATCAAATTTAACAAGATTAAAGAAATTCAGATGTTTAGTTAGAGAAGTGGTACTTGTTCCTGTTTGTTCATCAGCATAATCTATGGAGCTTTAAAAAAGGCAGATTCGTAAGTCCTA